TCTCGATTCTGCAATTGGCTAACAAAGATGGTAGGGTTGAAGAAGTCACTTCTTCAGGGAAGGGTCTGTTATCCATTGGAAGAGCAACCAGGCAACTAGATGCGTATGTGCACTCAATCCTGAAGAATACAAATAGAGCAATACTATATTGTTTCCTACCATCGTTCTTGATAACTATTGGAGAAGAGGACCTACTGTCACGTCTGGGCTTGCTTGTTGAATCTAACAAGAGGCAATCTTCAAATTTAAGCATCGAGGAATCTGGAATTGATATCTCAACAGTTCTTCAATTGTTGGTTGCAAACAAGAGTATCATATTTTGCCCGAGCAATCTTGATACTGATTTGAATTGCTGTCTGTGTATGAATTTAATCTCTCTACTCCATGATCAGAGAAAGAATGAGCAAAACATGGCATCCAATATTGTCAAACATTTGCTGGTCCACCGAAAATCTGCTTTTGAGGATTTGCTTGTCAAAAAACCTCACCGAGGACAAAACTTGGACGTTCTACACGGGGGATTTGATAGATTGCTAAGTGGAAATCTTCCAGAATTCTCTAAGTGGCTTGAGAGCTCGGAGCAAACTGTAAATAAAGTACTGGAGCAGGGAGCTGCAGTTATGTGGAAACAGTACATAGCTGGCTCGGTAAAGTTTCCTGATGTTAGGATGAAAGGCATGGATGGTCGCCGTACGAGAGAGATGGGTAGAAAATCACGAGATGTGTCTAAGTTAGACATGAAACGCTGGGAGCAGGTAAACGAGCGAAGGTATGCACTTGAAATAGTGCGTGATTCAATGTCTACTGAGCTTAGAATTGTCCGTCAAAACAAATATGGTTCGATACTTCATGCTGAGAGCGAGTGGCAAACTCATCTTCAACAGCTTGTTCATGAACGTGGTATATTCCCACTGCGTATCTCCCAAGGATGTGATGATCTTGAATGGCAACTCTGTCCTATCGAAGGTCCTTACAGAATGCGGAAAAAGCTTGAAAGATGTAAACTGAAAATCGATAGCATCCATAATTTACTAGAAGGGAAGTTGGAACTTGGAGAAATTGAGCTACCCAAATCGAAAAAGGAAGATGACTTGGTTATTTCTGATACGGATTGTGAGCCAGCTTTCCTGCTAAGTGAACTTTACAGCGAGTCCTTTTTCGAAGAAGCTGATGATCTCAAAAATGTTCCTTCTTCTAGAAATGGATGGAATAATGATAGAGATAGTAGTTCAAGTGAGGCCAGTCTTCATAATGCTCTTGATTTTGGTGGCAACTCTAGTGGTGCAACATCTGTTCTAATCAGCGACAACACAGATGAAAAATCTGAGACTGTATCTCCAAGACTGTCATCTTCTGGTAAAATGGATGAAACTAGAAGCGTGGAGGAAGAAGAATCAGAGAAGGAACTGACTGATGATGGTGAGTATTTGATCAGACCGTATCTGGAACATCTTGAAAAGATTAGGTTCCGATATAATTGTGAGAGAGTTGTTGGTTTAGACAAACATGATGGGATCTTCTTAATAGGGGAACTCTGCCTATATGTGATAGAGAACTTTTACATTAACGATGATGGGTGTATCTGTGAGAAGGAATGTGAAGACGAGTTATCCATTATCGATCAGGCTTTGGGTGTGAAAAAACAGTTGACCGGAAGCTTGGATGTCCAGTCCAAGTCTAGCCCATTATGGAGTACAACAATGAAAACCGGAGCTGTAGGGGGAAGAGCATGGGCATATGGTGGTGGGGCTTGGGGAAAGGAAAAAGTGCGTGTGACTGGTAACTTGCCACATCCTTGGCGTAGGTGGAAGTTAGATAATGTTCATGAGATTTTGAAACGTGATTACGAGCTGCGTCCAGTTGCTGTTGAGATATTTAGTATGGATGGATGTAATGATCTCCTTGTGTTCCACAAGAAAGAGAGGGAAGAAGTCTTTAGAAATCTGCTTGCCATGAATCTTCCAAGGAACCGCATGTATGGCATCTTGTTCCTCAGCACATTCCTTTTTTCTCTAATAGTAAATCAAAATGTCAAGCAAAGCTCAAGAACAGAGAACTATAAAGCCTAGTGTCCTCCTCCACGAGGCCCTTCCTAAATCTGTTGTTTATTCTGTTTTGTTTTCAGGCTCGATACGACCATTTCAGGATCAGCGAAACAGGAAAGTAAAGAGGGTAGTCGTCTTTTCAAGTTAATGGCAAAGTCTTTCACGAAAAGATGGCAAAATGGAGAGATCAGCAATTTCCAATACCTAATGCATCTCAACACTCTAGCAGGACGTGGATACAGTGATCTCACACAGTATCCGGTGTTTCCATGGATTCTATCAGATTATGATAGCGAGAGTCTTGATTTGTCAGATCCAAAGAGTTTTCGCAATCTTGACAAACCAATGGGTTGCCAGACGCCTGAAGGAGAAGAAGAATTTAAGAAACGGTTTGTCTATTGCTCTTTTCTCTTATACTCTTCACCATCCAGTTTTGCCTTTTTGATTAGTTTATGTTTTGTATCCGATAAGGGTTTCACATTCTTTCGTTTTTCCTTTCTCATTTCAGATATGAGGGCTGGGATGATCCAGAGGTGCCAAAATTTCATTATGGTTCTCACTATTCAAGTGCTGGCATTGTTCTGTTTTACCTTATTCGCCTCCCACCGTTCAGTGCTGAAAACCAGAAGCTTCAGGGTGGTCAATTTGATCATGCTGATCGACTTTTCAATAGTATTAGAGAAACTTGGCTAAGTGCATCTGGAAAAGGAAACACATCAGACGTGAAAGAACTGATTCCTGAATTCTTCTACATGCCCGAATTCTTAGAAAATAGATTTAACCTTGATTTGGGTGAAAAACAGTCCGGAGCAAAGGTAGGTTACGTACTTCTAATGGTATGATTGAATGTACCTTTTGACTTCTCCGTCTTTCCTGTCATGAGCAAGTTCCTTGTATGATTTCAGGTGGGTGATGTATTTTTACCTCCTTGGGCTAGAGGCAGTGTTCGTGAATTCATCCGCAAGCACAGAGAAGCTTTGGAGTCTGATTACGTTTCAGAGAATCTGCATCATTGGATAGACCTCATCTTCGGGTACAAACAGAGAGGAAAGGTACATTACATTACATGTTCTCCTTTTTGGTAGTCAACAGAGAATCAAACTATTTTTGTGATGTTGTTTTCTAAAATATTGAATCAAACATCTGTTTATTTTCAGGCTGCAGAAAAATCTGTAAATGTCTTCTATCATTATACCTATGAGGGGAATGTGGACGTTGATGCAGTTACTGATCCTACGTTGAAGGCATCAATATTAGCGCAGATTAATCATTTTGGACAAACGCCGAAGCAACTATTTCAGAAACCTCATCTTAAAAGAAGGACAGACAGAAAATTCCCTCTCCACCCTCTGAAACACTCGACGCATCTTGTTCCACGCGAGATACGTAAATGCTCATCATCTATAAACCAGATCATCACTTTCCATGACAAGTTGCTTGTTGCCGCCTCAAACTGTGTCTTGAAACCGAGAGGCTATAGGAAATACATAAGATGGGGTTTCCCGGACAGGAGCTTGAGATTTATGAGCTATGACCAGGACAAGCTCTTATCTACTCATGAAAATCTCCATGAAGGTAACCAGATTCACTGTGCTGGTGTTAGTCACGATGGGCGCATTGTGGTCACTGGAGCAGACGATGGTTTAGTCTCTGTGTGGAGAGTCAACAAGGATGGCCCGCGTGGTTCACGGTGTTTGCGGTTAGAGAAAGCCCTTTGTGCGCACACAGCCAAAGTCACTTGTCTACGAGTAAGCCAACCTTACATGATGATTGCAAGCGGCTCAGATGACTGTACAGTTATCATATGGGATCTCAGTTCTTTAAGTTTTGTGAGGCAGCTTCCTGATTTTCCAGTTCCTGTTTCCACAATCTATATAAATGACCTCTCAGGAGAAATCATAACCGCTGCTGGAACTTTACTCGCGGTTTGGAGCATCAATGGGGATTGTCTTGCTGTGGTTAACACATCAGAGTTGCCATCTGACTTGATAGTATCAGTTACAAGCTCGACGTTTTCTGACTGGCTGGAAACAACCTGGTACGTGACTGGTCATCAAAGCGGGGCGCTTAAAGTGTGGCAGATGGTACATTGCACTGATCCAGTTGGTGCTGAGTGCAAAACAGCTAGTAACGTAACTGGAGGGCTAAATTTGAGGGATCATGTGCCTGAATACAAGTTGCTTCTACACAAGGAGTTTACATTCCATAAGCAACCTGTCACAGCTCTTCATCTAACGACCGACCTGAAGCAACTACTGAGTGGTGATTCTGCTGGACATTTGATTTCGTGGACAGTTCCAGACCAGATATTAAAAGCGTTACACTCAAAGAAGGCCTCTTAGTTTAGAATCTCAAGCATCATCATCTAGAAATAGGACTAGAATCTGAAGCAATCACTGGATAGTAGATCAGAATCAGAATGTAAGACCTCAGGACAAACTGTTGGATTTGTGTGTCTCTTACCTCGCATCTGATTCTACCTCGTCTAGTTTGCAGAGCGGAGGGAGAAACTGGTCGATTCGACAATAACTGACAGGTTTGTCTTGAGAATTTGTGTAAATAGAGCTAACAGGGAATTGTGTTAATTAGTATAGCAGTCCCATTAGAGAACAACTTCATGTTGGTTGCTCTGTTTCTTATTGAGGGAAATGTTACATGTATCATTTTGTTTTCTCGATATAATTACAATCTTATTTATCAAAGTCATATGGTGTTTAACAGTAAAACTGATAGACCGGAGACCGTGTATCTTAGTTAAATCGATGTGTAATGAGAGGCAAACTGTAGTGTTGTGTTTTTCGTTTTAAAAACAAAATTTTTTGTAGATAAGGAAAGAGTTAAGAACAGCAGATCATATCAAATTAAGATTGCAAGTATGGTAAATATAATACATTAAAGAAACCAATGCATAATGGAATTGGAAACGAACTTGAAGATGAAAACCTCCAGTGAAATCTAATTGAAAGTAATTGCACAGTATGTAGAGCAAATGTACGCATCTGAGATACCAAGCATCTTCAACATGATACGGTATAAGCACCGCGACTTACAGTTGGTACAAAATGGGCGAGATACACTATCATTGAGCACCACCTCATATGACTTGTCCTTAATCTCTACTGTGGTTCTTGGCATGAGCCCTCCAAACTCTCCGAACACACAATGTGTATGCAAACTAGCATGGTGATCTTTACACGTGTAGAACCACTTGCTTGGATCAGTTTCTGTCTCACAAATGTCACACCAGTATTTACCACTTGCATCTTCGCCATAGTATAGTGTGAGAGGATGATCGTGAACTCTGTGCTTTACAACTTGTGGTAAAGTGGCGCAACCGAAGCATAAATTAAATTCACAACCATCTTCAATGCACCTGAGGACATGATATGCACTATACGCTCCACAACCATTGCAATTTATAGAACGATCATGTGGAATGTGAAATAAGGGATGATTGGGATGACTTGGATGGAAAAATGGCTCAGAAATCGAACCACATCGAACATCTAACACCTTGTCCTCATCTTTGTACCTGAAGCCATTGGACATCCTATGACAAGCATAACAATGGAACCGGTCAGTCTCGCATGTAACTAAATTAAGCCGATCATTGTGGAGCACATTCCATGTCTTCCTAAGAAGTTTAGCGCATTTTATATGGAGAATGAAATCACAACTGAGACAGCCATAATAGGATTCGAGACAAATGGAATGGGCACATGCGCTGCAACGATTGTCCTCCTCATAGAGAATACCATCATCATTAAGTCTTAGGTAATGCTCTTTGTGGCTGAAATGTTGTATCGTGTTATCATCTATCACCACATATGGTTCTATATCTTCTGTTTCTTCCGGTACTCCTTCGAGTTCTTTCCCGTTCCACACATCCATTCTGGTAGCGCATTTGGAATGCACCACATAGCCAGTGCAACTCTGACAAGAATAACCTCCACAAGTCCAATCTACCTTCTGGCGACAAACTCCACATACAGAATTCACAACACCAAGAAGACAAGTGCGAGAAATACGATGCTCATGCCGATTGATGTTTATGATGCGTGGAAGGCCAAGACAGTCTTGATGGATTACGAAACCACATTGAACACATATGTAAGGGCTTCGATCTCCCTTGAGCCCGCAAGCATTACATGTAAAAGAATCCAGTCTTGGAAGAAGGGTGAGTTGGTGATCATGACTTTCAAATCCACAAGAGATTGTGGTGGTGGGTTAAAACACAGCGCAAATCCAAGGTGAAGTTACAAGAAGAACAATGATAAAACCATTTATCAACCTTTCTTCCGCAAAGACGACATTTTCCATCGGAATAGTCCGGTGCGTCGCCTGTAATGAGCTTAAGAGGATGGAGAGAATGGTAAGAGTGGTTTAACTTTGTCGGGCGTGTTACATCTGTCCCGCGTGTTACCTCTGGCGGGTACAATATGCAGTCCACATGGAATGCTAAATCACATTCATGACACATGTAAGATAACCCATCACCAAGCTTTCCACATTTGGCATCACAGACAAACTCTGTCCACTCCTTGAGAAGTGTGAGCTTGTGAGGATGCGTCTCGAATATGTCAATAAGCTCTGGTGGTGGTGGATACTTGGCACAGTATAGACACACGTCGAAGTCACAGATCTCACAACGATAGCATAGATCCACAATTTTCCTTCCACACAAATCGCAATACTGACTTGGTTTACTTGGAAGCAGCTGAAGAGTGTGAAGGGAGTGAAATGTGTATTGGATATATTCGGAGGGCCCGTCACTACATATCTTGTGTACGAAAAAATCGCAGATTTTGCAATAGTAGCCATCAGTGATAGATTGAAAGCGTCCACAGCAATCACCTCTCTGCATTTCATTCCAAGGCACCATGAAATGCTTGTGGATGGGTAGTGACACTAACACAGAGGCAGAGGCCATGGTTGTACACTACGAGACCAGAAGGAAGAGGAGGTTTGTGGTCGTATACAGGGAAGGAAGAAGAAGACGGAAGGTTAGAATGTGTTATCCTCAATGCTATCTCCTCCTCTGGCCACTCAAATGCTATCCCTCTCTCAAGTTTTTCATTTTTTGTTTTATTCCCATAATTTATCAAATGGGTCCACATTCATTAGAAAACTGAAGTTTTTATGATTTTAACAAATTCCATTTATAGATTAATAGATGATGATAGTAAGAGAACACAAAAGTGTTTTAGGAAGTATTATTAATCCGACTCTCACAAAATAGTATTACAAGATGCACTAAAACACATGGTAATCTAAAAATATCATTTAAGCTCTTCAACGGTTTCATAGCTTTTGTTTGTTAATATAGTTTCAATAGCGAGGTGTGTAACTGTGTAAGAGTAAGGTCCCATGGAGTATGGAAGCTGATATTGTTGTTGTTGGTTTTGTATGAACTTCATGAATGTCTAATTCCATAAATCGATCTATCAACACTCCCATTATCTCTGTTACGTTGTAATATATCTGAAAACTCTCTTTCACTATATGATACAGAGCCACAATCACCACTCTGTTGTTCTTCGCATTACCTGTTACAGAGAGACCTAACTTGTTAGCCAAGAAAGTTGAGAGTGAGGCAAACAAACGTGCCTTACAAGTAAAGATATTAAAATGAAATCAGATTCAAACTGAATCTAAAAAAAAAGGAAATGATAATTTAAGATAACTATTACGTGTTGGACGACAAGCCAAGAAACGATCAAGAAGCTGTTGTAAATGTTGTAATCTGGTGAAGATTTTCTCTGTTTTCATCTCTGTGACCCGTTTAGACTCAACCACAAGAGATCTAGACCGAATATCGGAATTGGTCTCAAATATGATCATCTTCATCGTCACTGGAATCACAACCACCACTGTCACCGCTGTGTTTCCCTCTCTTTCCTTGCATCCGGAAATTAAGCCGCTCATTCAAATACAGAGCATAAGTCAACAAAAGCAGAGTAATCCCACGATTCAGAGAGATTCGCGTCTCTAAAATCAGAGAGGAAAGGTACATTACATTAATGTTCTCCTTTTAGTAATCAACAGAGAACCAAACTATTTTAGCGATTCTATCTATAACTCCTTTTAGGTGTATCTATCTCATCCGTTGGATATTCATCAACAGAGTCAACAAGGATGGCCCACGTGGTTCACGGTGTTTGCGGTAAGAGAAAGCCCTTTGTGCGCACACAGCCAAAGTCAATTGTCTACGAGTAAGCCAACCTTACATGATGATACATTGCACTGATCCGGTTGGTGCTGAGAGCCAAACTGATAGCAACATAACAGGAGGGCTAAATTTGAGGGATCATGTGACAGAATACAAGTTGCTTCTACACAAGGAGTTGACAGTCCATAAGCAACCTGTCACAGCTCTTCATCTAACGACCGACCTGAAGCAATTACTGAGCGGTGATTCTGCTGGACATTTGATTTCATGGACAGTTCCAGACCAGATTTTAAAAGCTTTACACTCAAAGAAATCCTCATAGTTTAGAAATCTTAAGCATCATAATCTAGGACTAGGACGAGACTCTGAAACAATCACTGATGGTTGATCAAAATCATAATGTAAGACCTCAGGACAAACTGTTGGATTTGTGTGAATCTCTCTTATCTCGCATCATATTCTACCTGTTAGTTTGTGTAATCTGTTGGTAGTTTGTGTAAATAGAGCTAATAGGGAGTTGTGTAAGTTAGTATTACAGTCCCATTCCCATCAATATTTCTATTGATAAAACCATTGTAACTCATTAATAATTTGGACTATGGGCTCCAACATTAATGGTAACATTTCTGGTTTTTAATTCAGCTGTAGCCAGTCTTAAGGTTAGTAATCAGAGTAGAGTTTCATGTTTGTTATTCTGTTTCTTTTTATGGGAAATGTTGTTACCAGTATCATTTCGTTTTCTCGATATAACTACCGCACGACCACAATCTTATTTATTATTAAAGTTAATATTTGTTATATGCTAATGTGACAAAAAAATATGTGGATTTAACAATAAAATTGATAGACCTGATACAGTGTATCTTCTTTTCAGCCGATGTGTTATGAGAAGAAAACTAGTGTTCTGTTCCTCGTTTTTATGGCATGGCATGATTTTGTAGATAACGAAAGACTAAAAAAAAAGAAAGCGTTAAGAACAACGAGATCATATCAAATTAAGATTGCAGGGTTGGTAGATATTAATACATTAAACAGATCAATGTATAATGGAAAAAGAAACGAACTTGTAGATGAAAACGTCCAAAGAAATCTATTTGAATCTATATACACAGTCTAAAGAGCAAATGTATGTATCTGAGATTCCAAGGACCTTCAAGATGATAGGGTATAAGCAACGCAACTTACACTTGGTGCAAAAGGGGCGAGACACACTATCATTGAGCACCACCTCCCATAATATGGACCGAATCTTTACTGTGCTTCTTGGCATGAGCCCTCGAAATTGTACAAGCACACACTCGGTATGCAAACTAGCATGGTGATCTTTACACGTGTAGAACCATTTCCTAGGATCACATTCTTTCTCACAAATGTCACACCAATAGTATTCACCACTTGCATCGTCACCATAGGATAGTGTGAGAGGATAATCGTGAACTCTGTGCTTTATAACTTGTGGCAGAGTGGCGCAACGGAAGCATAAGACAAATTTACAACCATCTTCAATGCAACTGAGCATAGAAGATCCCCAATTGATTTTGCAATCAATGCATCTTATAGGAAGTCTACGTGGAATGTGAAATAAGGGATGGTTGGGATGACTTGGATGGGAAAATGGCTCAGAAATCGAACCACATCGGACATCTAACATCTTATTCTTATTCTTGTACCTGAAACCATTTGACACTCTATAACAAGCATAACACTGAAAGTAAGTGGCCTCGTCTGCAACTAAAGTAAGTCGTTCATTGTGAAGCACATGCCATTTCTTCCTAGGAAGTTTAGCGCAGTTTTGATGGAGAATGAAATCACAACTGAGACAGCCATAGAAGGACTGGAGACCGATGGGATGGGCACATGCGCTGCAACGGTTGTTCTCCTCATACAGAATACCATTAACGTTGAATCTGAGGTAATGCTCTTTGTGGCTAAAATGTTGTATCGTGTTGTCATCAATTACCACATATGGTTCTACATCTTCTGCATCTTCAGGTACTCCTTCAAGTTCTTTCCCGTTCCATACATCCTTTCTGGTAGCACATTTGGAATGCACGACATAGCCACTGCACCTCTTACAAGAATAGCCCCCACAAGTCCAGTCCACCTTGCGGCGACAAACTCCGCATACAGAATTGATAAGACCAAGAAGAGAAGTGCGAGAAACGCGATGCTCATGCCGGTTGATGTTTATGACGCGTGGAAGGCGAAGACAGGCTCTATGGATCATGAAACCACATTGAAAACATGCCTAAGGGCTGCGATCTCCCTTAAGCCCGCAAGCATTACATGTAAGAGAATCGAGTCTTGGAAGAAGGGTGAGTTGGTGATCATGAGCTTTCAAATCCACAAGAGATTGTGGTGGTGGGGTCAAAACACAGCGCAAATCCAAGGTGAAGTTACAAGGAGAACAATGATAAAACCATTTATCAACCGTCCTTCCACAAAGACGACATTTTACATCGGAATAGTCTGGTGGAAGGCCTGTAAGGAGCTTGAGAGGGTGCAAAGAATGGTAAGAGTGGTTTACCTCTTCCGGGCGTAATACCTCCGACGGGTACCATACGCACTCCATATGGAAGGCTAAAACACATTCATCACATCTGTAAGAAAACCCGCGACCAAACCTGCTTCCCACATTCAGCATCACAGGCAAACTCTCTCGGCTCCTTGAGAAGTGTGAGTTTGTGAGGATGCGTCTCGGAAATGTCAATAACCTCTGGTGGTGGTGGGTTATTGGCACAACATAGATCCACGTCGAAGTCACATATCTCACAACGATAGCATAGACCCACGATTTTCTTTCCACATAAATTGCAATAGTGCCGTGGTTTACTTAGAAGCAGCTGAAGAGTGTGAAGGGAGTGAGATGGGTGTTGTATATATTCGGAGACCCCGTCGCCAGATATCTTGTGGACGAAAAAATCACACTTTTTACAATAGTAGCCATCAGTGGTAGACTCAAAGCGTCCACAGCAATCACCTCTCCGCATATCATTCCAAGGCACCATGAAATGCTTGTGGATGGGGAGTGACACTAACACAGAGGCTGAGGCCATGGTGGGAAGAAGAAGAAGAAAAGTTAGATCTGAAATCTCAAAAGCTACGCCTCCTTTCTAGTCTCTTTCTCTCTTGCCTCAAAAGTCTTCCCTTGTTTAACTCAGATTCCCAAATATGCTCTGTATTATAAAAACAATTTACAGTGTAGATATATTTTAACATGTGCTCTCCTGCCTTTTTTGTTTTCCTTAATAGTTTTAAGTAAAATGAAATGGTCCACTTGGCTAATTTGCTTAATCTCCCTTTGTAAGCACAACATTTCACCAAAATTTCTTCTTTTTTTGAATGAATGTAAAATTCTGTTCAATCAAAAAACTGTGTTACATCTAAGTGCTTCATCGTTTGAGATAGTAATGCGAAACTATTCTACAACTTAAGTTTTAGTGGCAAACCAATACATAAGGCTACCATCATAGCTGAAGTTCTCCAAGAAGCCTAATCGAGCTTAGGCGTTTCCGAATATTTTTGTCAAGAAGTATCACCATTCGTTGTGCCGTCTACCGTTACATTCTCTTCAGATGCTGTACACCGTCGCTTGAAAGGTGTATCTGAGTGATAAATAGTTTGTGATGGTCATAGTTAGGATCCCCTAAGAGGTTAACTAGACCATCCAATCTGTGGTAAAATAGCTTCCAAGTATTTCCTTCACCAAAATTTTATCACTACCAAATCTTGTTTTGACAACGCAAGCTTGTCCCAAAGTAATCATTACTCCCTCCGTTTCAATTAGTTGTCGTTTTAGGAAAATGTATCTGCAAATATTTGGATGTATATATGTTTTACATTGAAGATACATCCAAATAATTGCAAATACATTTTCCCTAAACCACAACTAATTTGAAACGGAGGGAGTATGAGTTTCCCACCAAAATTCAGCCATTTCAGTCGTATTCCGATTTAGCACAGTCAAACCGTTGACCGCAATTAATAGTAGTACCATACATTCTCTATCACACAACTACACTCAAACATGAGTGATTTGCCATTTACTTTCTTTGGTATTATTAACAAATTTCCATTCTTCTTGCTTCTTCTAACCTAAATCTTTTTACTCCTCACTTTGCATTTTCTTTAAGTGTACACACAAGCGTAGCTCGACGCCAGGATGAGGTAAAATGAGATTCCCAAGTGTGAGTCTCTATATCTAAACCCTAAGCCCAATTCGTGGAATTATCTTCTCTGCAACCTCCCACTACATATATATATATATATTCCTATTGAGGACGTAGTGGTACGTAGGGTCATTTTTCCTTTTTCTTTATAAAGTAGTGTGAGAAGAGTTACAATTTATCTAACTGTTTAAAAACTCGAGAGAAGATATCATAGGCATGAATATCTAGTTCCATAAACCGATCTATCAATACTCCTATTATCTCTGTAAATCTGTAATGTTGTAATATACTGAAAAGTGAAAACTATCCTTCACTAAAGGATACAAAGCAACAATTACCATTCCAGAGACCTAACTTGTTTGCCAAGAAACTTGAGCGTGAGGTCAACAAACGTGACTTGAAAAGCAAAGATATTAAAATCGAATCTAAGAAAACAAAAGAAATGATAGAAATAAAGTTTATAAATGAAATTAGTTAATGAATTATTACCTGTTGGACGACAAGCCAAAAACCGATCACCAAGCTGTTGTAAAATGTAAATTATGTACTCTGGTGAAGATTTTCTCTGTTTTCATCTCTATCACCGGTTTAGACTTAACCACAAGAGCTCTCGACCGAATATTGGCATTAGTCTCTCGATGATCATCTTCATCGTCACCGGAATCACCACCACCATCGCCGTGTTTGCCTCTCTTTCCTTGCATCCGGAAATCAAGCCGCTCGTCCAAATACAGAGCATAAGTCCGAATAAAAGCAGAGTAATCCCACGAATCAGAACGATTCGCATATCTCTGAAATCAGACATGCTAAACGCGTCTCGTCCCGAAGAAGATCTCTTGCTCGTTGGCTCGTTCGCCGTCTGTTAACAAACGTTGCACCAAAATCAAGGTTCCTAGAGCAACCTTTGGTCTTGTTGAGACGTCTCGAGAGAGTTGCGTGAGTAAGACGTTAGGCTTAAGATCTCTCTGATGTATATCTCATCCGCTGGATATTCGTCATGTCGTGTTTATATATGATTTTGTCTAGTTCCTTTAGTGAGATCTCGTTGCTTCGACCTCCGACTTTGGCTAATCCTACGCTTATCCTGCAATGAAAGCATCTTGTTCCTCGCGAGATACGTAAATGCTCATCATCTATAAACCAGATTCATCACTTTCCAGGACAAGTTGCTTGTTGCCGCCTCAAACTGTTTCCTGAAACCGAAAGGCTATAGGAAGTACATAAGATGGGGTTTCCCAGATAGGAGCTTGAGATTTATGAACTATGATCAGGACAAGCTCTTAACTACACATGAAAATCTCCATGAAGGCAGCAATCACTGGATAGTAGATCAAAATCAGAATGTAAGACCTCAGGACAAGCAGTCGGATATGTGTGAATCTCATACCTCGTATCTGATTCTCCCTGTAAGTTATCTATTCGACAATAACTAACAGGTTTGTCTTGAGAATTTTGTGTAATAGAGCTAATAGGGAATTGTGTAAGTTAGTAACTTAGTATTACAGTCCCATTCCCGTCTATATCTTCACAGATGAACTCATTGTAATCACATTTGATTTGGCCTCAACATAAATGGTAATATGTCGGTCTAAGGTACTAAATCAGAGTACAGTTTCATATCGGTTGCTCTGTTTCTTATTGCATCATTTCGTTTCTCGATATACCACGAAACTACAATCTTATTTATCAAAGCTAACATTTTGTGATGTGGTATTTAACAATAAGACCTGATAAGTTACTGTAGTGTTGTATTCTTCGTTTTTAAGGCAAGATTTTGTAGATAAGGAAAGACCAAAAAACAAAAGCGTTAAGAACAGAAAGTTCATATCAAATTAAAATTGCAAGAATGGTAAATAATAATAACACATGAAAGAAACCAATGCATAATGGAATAAGAAACAAACTTGAAGATGAAAACTTCCAAAGAAATCTATTTGAATCTAGTTGCACAGACCAAAGAGCAAATGTATGCGTCTGATATTTTAAGCACCTTCAAGATGATAGGGTATAAGCAACGTGACTTACACACGGTGCAAAATGGGCGAGATACACTATCGTTGAGCACCACCTCATATTGATAGAACCAAATCTTTACTAGGCTTCTTGGCATGAACCCTCCAAAAGTTCCGAGCACACACTCAGTATGCAAACTAGCATAGTGATCTTCACACGTGTAGAACCACTTCCTAGGATCACATTCTTTCTCACAAATGTCACACCAATAGTGTTCACCACTTTCATCATCATCATCACCATAGCACAGTGTGAGAGGATAGTCGTGAAATCTGTGCTTTATAACTTGTGGTAGAGTGGCGCAACAGAAGCATAAGACAAATTTACAACCATCTTCAATGCAACTGAGCATAGAAGATCCCCAATCGATGTTGCAATTAATGCATCTTATAGGAAGTCTACCTGGAATGGCATACAAGGGATGGTTGGGATGACTTGGATGTGCAAATGGCTCAGAAATCGAACCACAGCGGACATCTAACATCTTATTCTTATCCTTGTACCTGAAACCATTTGACATTCTATAGCAAGCACCACATTGAAAGTAATTGGCCTCGTTAGTAACTAAAGTAAGCCGTTCATTGTGAAGCACATGCCATTTCTTCCTAGGAAGTTTAGCGCAGTTTTGATGGAGAATGAAATCACAACTGAGACAGCCATAGAAGGATTGGAGACCGATGGGATGGGAACATGCGCTGCAACGGTTGTTCTCCTCATACAGAATACCATCATCATTATGTCTTAGATAATGCTCTTTGTGGCTAAAATGTTGTATCGTGTAGTCATCAATCACCACATATGGCTCTATGTCTTCTGTTTCTTCTGGTACTCCTTCAAGCTCTATCCCGTTCCAAACATCCTTTCTGGTAGCACATTTCGAATGCACGACATAGCCGGGACACCGCTTACAAAGATAACCCCCACAAGTCCAGTTCACCTTCTGGCGACAAACTCTGCAAACAGAATTGATAAGACCAAGAACAGAAGTTCGAGAAACACGATGATCATGCCGATTGATGTTTATGACGCGTGGAAGGCCAAGACAGTCTTGATGGATCATGAAATCGCATTGAACACAAATGTAAGGGCTTCGGTCTCCCTTCAATCCGCAAGCATTACATGTGAAAGAATCGAGTCTTGGGAGAAGGGTGAGTTGGTGATCATGAGCTTTCAAATCCACAAGAGATTGTGGTGGTGGGGTCAAAACACAGCGCAAATCCAAGGTGAAGTTACAAGAAGAACAATGATAAAACCATTTATCAACCTTTCTTCCGCAAAGACGACATTGTCCATCGGAATAGTCCTGTGGATGGCCTGTAATGAGCTTGAGAGGATGGCAAGGATGGTAAGAGTGGTTTACCTCTTCCGGGCGTATTACCTCCGACAGATTCCACACACAGTCCACATGGAAGAATAAATCACATTCATGGCATTTGTAAGAAATCCCGTCATCACAAGGCTTCCCACATCTGGCATCACAGTTAAACTCTCTCCGCCTCTTGACAAGTGTGAGCTTGTGATGATGCATCTCGGTATTAACCTCTGTTGGGTACTTGGCACAACATAGACACACGTCGAAGTTACATATCTCACAACGATAGCATTGATCCACGACATCCCTTCTACATAAATTGCAATTTTGACTTGCTACACTTGGAAGAAGCTGAAGATTGTGAAGGGAGTGAGATGGGTGTTGGATATAGTCGGAGGTCTCGTCGCCACATATCTTGTGGACGAAAAAATCGCAGATTTGGCAAAAATAGCCATCCGTGATAGATTCATAGCGTCCACAGCAATCACCTCTCCGCATATCATTCCAAGGCACCATAGGATGCTTGTGGATGGGTAGTAACACTCCTCCCTCAGAGACAGAATCCATGGTGGGAAGAAGAAGAAAAAAGAAAAATTAGATCTGAAATATCAAAGCTACGCCTCCTTTCAAGTCTCTTTCTCTCTTGCCTCAAAAGTCTTCCCTTTGTTCATCTCAGATTCCCAAATATGTTCTGTATATATTAAAACAATTAACAGTGGATATATTTTAATATTTGCTCTCCTAACTAATTGTTTTCCTTTGTACAGTAGTTGTAAGTAAGATTTAATGGTCCACTTGGCTCCCTTTGTCATTTCTATCGCATAAAATTTATGGTCCACTTGGCTAATTTGCTTAATCTAATAATCTCCCTCTGTAAGCATAACATTTTTTTTTCTTGTTTTGACAACGACAAGGCTGCGCAAGATTGTCCCAAATCTTTTTTCCCTTCACTTTCATTTTATTAAGTGTACACAGAAGCGTAGCTCGACGCCAGGATGAGGCAAAATGAGATTCCCAAGTGTGAGTCTGTATCAAAAACCTAAGCCCAATTCGTGGATTCATCTTCTCTGCAACCTCCCATTACCATACATATATTCCCATTGAGGACGTGGTGGCACGATTGACGTAGGGTCATTTTTCCTTTGTCTTGAAATTGTTTTATAAAGTAAAGTAGTGAGAAGATTTACAATTTATCCAACTGTTTTGAAACTCGACAGAAGATATATATGGATATCTAATTCCATAAAAAGATCTATCAATACTCCCATTATTTCTGTAATATATCTGGAAACTCTCTCCTTCTTTATAGGATACAAAGCCACAATCACCACTCTGTTGTTCTTCGCATTACCTGTTGCAGAGACCTAACTTGATAGCCAAGAAAGTTGAGTGTGAGGAAAAACTAACGTGACTTGCAAGTAAAGATGTTTAAAACAAAAGAACTCATAATATTAAACTTTATCAATGAAATAAGTTACAGTAATTAGTTAATACCTGTTGGACGACAAGCCAAGAACCAATCAAGAAGCTGTTGTAAATGTTGTACTCATTGTGAAGATTTTCTCTGTTTTCATCTTTGTGACCGGTTTGGTCTTAACCACAAGAGCTCTCTACCGAATATTGGCACTGGTCTCTTGATGATCATCTTTGTCGTCACCTGAATCACCACCACCATCACCGCCGTGTTTCCCTCTCTTTCCTTGCATCCGGAAATCAAGCCGTTCGTCCAAATCCAGAGCAAGTCCGAACAAAAGCAGAGTAATCTCACGAATCAGAATGATTCGCATCTCTCTGAAATCGGACATGTTAAGCGCGTCTCGTAGCGAAGAAGATCTCTTGCTCGTAGGCTCGATCGCCTTCTCTTAATAATTGTTGGACCAAAATCAAGGTTTCGAGAGCAACCAACCAGTTTTTGGTCTTGTTGAGACGTCTCGAGAGAGTTGCGTGAGTAAGACGTTAGCCTTAAGATATATTAGAGTACACTTCATGTTGGTTGCTCTGTTTTTTTTAACAATTAACAATTTAACTAACTGTTTTGAAACTCGACAGAAGATATATATATTATGGATATCTAATTCCATAAAAAGATCTATCAATACTCCCGTTATTTCTGTAATATATCTGAAAACTCTCCTTTACTATATAGGATACAAAGCCACAATCACCACTCTGATGTTCTTCGCCTTACCTGTTGGAGAGACCTAACTTGTTAGCCAAGAAAGTTGAGAGTGAGGAAAAACAAACGTGACTTGCAAGTAAAGATGTATTAAACTTTATAAATGAAATTAGTGAATTAGTTATTACCTGTGGGACGACAAGCCAAGAACCGATCAAGAAGCTGTTGTAAGTGTTGTACTCTGGTGAAGATTTTCTCTGTTTTCATCTCTGCGACCGGTTTACACTCAAAGAATCCTCATAGGACTAGAATCTGAAGCAATCACTGATGGTAGATCAAAATCAGAATGTGAGACCTCAGGACAAACTGTTGGATTTGTTTGAGTCTCTTACCTCGCATCTGATTATACCTCATCTAGTTTGCAGAGCGGAGGGAGAAACTGATCGATTCGACAATAACAAACAGGTTTGTCTTGAGAATTTGTGTAAACAGAGCTAATAGTGAATTCTGTAGATTAGTATAACAGATTAACAGTCCCATTCCCATATATATTTTTACAGATGAAATCACTGTAATCACTTATAATTTGGACTATGGCTTCAACATTAATGGTAACATATCTGTGTTTTTTTTCATCTGTAGCCCTGTCCAAGGTACTAAATTAGAGGACAGCTTCATGTTGGTTGCTCTGTTTCTTATTGAGGGAAATATTACATGTATCTTAGTTAAATCGGTGTGTTATGAGAGGCAAACTGTAGTGTTGTGTTCTTCGTTTTAAAAACATTTTTTTTGTAGATAACGAAAGCGTTAAGAACAGCTAGATCATATCAAATTAAGACTGCAAGTATGGTCAATATAATACATTAAAGAAATCGATGCATAATGAAATTGGAAATGACTTGAAGATGAAACCTCCAGTGAAATCTAACAGAAAGTAAATGCATAGCGCAAAGAGCAAATGTACGCATATGAGATACCAAGCATCTTCAAGATGATAGGGTCATAGCAACGCGACTTACACTTGGTGCAAATTGGGCGAGATACACTATCATTGAGCACCACCTCATATGACTTGTACTCAATCTCTACTGTGCTTCTTGGCATGAGCCCTCCAAACTCTCCGAGCACACACTCTATATGCAAACTAGCATGGTGATCTTTACACGTGTAGAACCACTTGCTTGGATCAGTTTCTGTCTCACAAATGTCACACCAGTATTTTCCACTTGCATCGTCGCCATAGCACAGTGTGAGAGGATGATCGTGAACTCTGTGCTTTACAACTTGTGGTAAAGTGGCGCAACCGATGCATAAAGAAAATTCACAACCATCTTCAATGCAACTGAGCATAGAAGGTCCCCAATCAAGATTGCAATTAATGCATGGCATAGGAAGTCTACCTGGAATGGCATATAAGGGATGGTTGGGATGACTTGGATGGACAAATGGCTCAGAAATCAAACCACATCGGACATCTAACACCGCATCCTCAGCTTTGTACCTGAAACCATTGGACATTCTAGAACAAGCAATGCAGTAAAAGTAATCGGCCTCGTCTGTTGTAACTAACGTAAGTCGATCATTGTGTAACACATGTCGTTTCTTCTTAGGAAGTTTAGCGCATTTTTTATGGAGAATGAAATCACAAGTGAGACAGCCATAAAAGGATTGGAGACAAATGGAATGGGAACATATGCTGCAACGGTTTTCCTCCTCATACAGAATACCATCATCATTAAGTCTTAGATAATGCTCTTTGTGGCTGAAATGTTGTATTGTGTTGGCGTCTATCACCACATATGGCTCTATATCTTCTATTTCTTCAGCTACTCCTTCGAGTTCTATCCCGTTCCATACATTCCATCTTGTAGCACATTTGGAATGAACGATATAACCTGGACAGCTCTGGCAAGAATAACCCCCACAAGTCCAATCCACCTTCTGGCGACAAATTCCACACACAGAATCCGCAACATCAATACCAAGCAAGGAAGTGCGAGAAACGCGATGCTCATGCCGGTTGATGTTTATGACGCGTGGAAGGCGAAGACAGGCTCGATGGATCATGAAACCACATTGAAAACATGCGTAAGGGCTTCGATCTCCCTTGAGCCCGCAAGCATTACATGTAAAAGAATCCAGTCTTGGGAGAAGGGTGAGTTGGTGATCATGCACTTTCAAATCCACAAGATTCTTGGGAGGTGGGGTCAAAACACAGCGCAAATCCAAGGTGAAGTTACAAGAAGAACAATGATAAAACCATTTATCAACCTTTCTTCCACACAGACGACATTTTCCATCGGAGTAGTCTGGTGGATGGCCTGTAAGGAGCTTAAGAGGGTGCAAAGAATGGTAAGAGTGGTTTACTTCTTTGGGGCGTATCACATCCGATGGGTATGAGTACCATACGCACTCCACATGGAATGCTAAATCACATTCGTCACATTTGTAAGGAAACCCATAACCACGCTTTCCACATTTGGCATCACAGACAAACTCTGTCCGCTCCTTGACATGTGTGAGCTTGTGAGGATGCGTCTCGGAAATGTCAATAACCTCTGGTGGTGGTGGGTACTTGGCACAGTATAGACACACGTCGAAGTCACATATCTCACAACAATAGCATCGATCCTTAATATTCCTTCCACATAAATCGCAATAATGAAGTTTACTTGGAAGCAGCTGAAGAGTGTGAAGGGAGTGAGATTGGTGTTGAATATATTCGGAGGCCTCGTCGCCACATATCTTGTGGACGAAAAAGTCGCAGATTTTGCAATAGTAGCCATCCGTGATAGATTCATAGCGTCTACAGCAATCACCTCTCCCCATATCATTCCAAGGCACCATAGGATGCTCATGGATGAGTAGTGACACTCCCTCAGAGACTGAATCCATAGCTGTATACACTACGAGATCATAAAGAAGAAGAGGCTTGTGGTCGTATACTGGGAAGGAAGAAGAAGATTGAAGGTTGAATGTGTTATCCATTCCTCAATGCTATCTCATCCTCTGGCCACTCAAATACTATCCCCTCTCTCAAGTTTTTCTTTTATTTATTCCGATAATTTATTAAATGGGTCCACATTCTAAAAACCGATTGTAACATTTCCATTTCTTGATTAACTGGTTTTAGATTGATAAATAGATTGATGATATTAAAAGAACCCAAGTGTTTTATGATGAAGAATATAAAGTATACATTCTCACAAAATAATATTACAAGAAGCACTAAAACACTTATGGTAATATTAAGAACTATTAACCAGAAGAGTTTACAATGTCAGAGAGAGAACAACGATCACCACTCTGTTGTTCTTCGCATTATCTGTTACAATGAGACTTAACTTGTTAACCAAGAAAGTTAAGAGTGATGAAAAACAAACGTGAGTCGCAAGTTATTACCTGTTGGACGACAAGCCAAGAACCGATCAAGAAGCTCTTGTAAATGATGTACTCTGGTGAAGATTTTCTCTGTGACCGGTTTAGACTTATTGGGAGATTGACGAGATCGACCATAAGGAAATCAAGAAGGATCTAGAAGATTGATATTTGGCAATATCTAAGATTAGGAAACTTAGCTTTTATCTTAAATATATCTATTCCATATTAGTTTAGGAAATTAGTTTGCTTTCTTCCCTATATAAGTTTATACATCTTGTAACATTATTTTCATGAGAGTCTATTATAATTCTTGTGTTCTTTACTCTCATCAATTTGACAAGACTTAACCACAAGAGCTCTCGACCGAATGTTGGCATTGGTCTCTCGATGATCATCTTCCTCATTACCGGAATCAGCACCAGCATCACCGTGTTTCCCTCTCTTTCCTTGCATTCGGATATCAAGCCGTTCGTCCAAATACAGAGCATAAGTCCGAACAAAAGCAGAGTAATCCCATGAATCAGAACGATTCGCGTCTCTGAAATCAGACATGTTAAGCAATCTCGTCGCGAAGAAGATCTCTTGCTCGTAGGCTCGATCGCCTTCTGTTAACAAACGTTGGACTAAAATCAAGGTTTTGAGAGCAACCGACCAGTTCTTGGTCTTGTTGAGACGTTTCGAGCATCATTTTGTTTTCTCGATAAAATTACCGCTATACTACAGTCTTATTTATCAGAGTTATATGGTGTTTAACAATAAATTCCATAGACCTGATACCATGTAAGTTAGTTTATGTTAGTTAAATCGATGTGTTATGAGAGGAAAACTGTAGTGTTGTGTTCTTTTGTTTGGTCTGTAGACAAAACTGTAGTGTTGTGTTCGAGCAGACAAAACTGTAGTGTGTTCTTCGTTTTTAAGACGAAAGACTAAAAAAATGAAAGCGTTAAGACGACGAGATCATATATATTAAATTAAGATTGCAAGCTTGGTAGATATTCCTAATATATTAAAAGAGAAAACACTATAAAATAAACCTTTGTCTCATGTGTTATTAACAGAAATGCCATGCTGATGTGTCAACACCAGGTTCACTTTCAAGGTTAGTTTTAATTAAGACAAACATTACTAGACTAATTACATGTTATGCCATTCATATTTGGTTAGAGAATGAAATATATATGATTAATTTAGTCAGAAAAATAATTATTAATGAAAATTATTTTCTTTCAGTTTCCTTATTTGGTAATGACGAAAATTTATTTATTAGTCAATCAATCAGTAAAATATGGAAAGTTTTATTCAATTGTATTATATTAATTGTTTAAAAATTAATTTATTCATCTATCATTTTTGTTTAGCTTTACTTTCAAGAATAAATTATATCATCACATCAAAATATTTAAAAAAAGAAAATTAGTTTTTTTTACATATGCTATGGTTTGAATTTTTAAAAATGAAGCAAATCTCTAAAAATGTTAAATGTCCCACATGATTATATTTTGGGATAATAGTTCAAAAACCTATTATAAAATAGGATCCAAATAATGATCAACCATAATCACAAATAGGAAAGAAAAATTTACCATGTTTGGAAATCTTTAAAATTTCTTTTATTCGATTTAATTTGATTCTTTAATTGAATTAAATAATTAAATCGTATTTTTAATATTTTGGTTTGATCAAAATTTTAAACGTAATAAATTCTAATAACTTATCATATAAGTTAAATTATTTTAGTTATTTAAAATTGATAAAAACATAAAATATATATGCCATTTTATATTTATCAAAATATAAAATTATTTTAAATGTATTAAAATTTAATATATATGTGGGTTCGGAAAGGGAGAAACTGTTGTTAAAGCAAATGTTAGATTACCACACTGTAAACGATGACAAAAATCAAACCAGGCTAAAAAAATATGCATCACTCAAAATTTCGTCTAATGTAAATTGACATTTTTTTAATTGTCTAACACTCTATGTTCCTAAAATTGTATGTAAATAGACATCTTTTAATAAAATCAAATTGAGAAAATATCACCCGTGCAAGGCGCGGGTCAAACTCTAGTTAATACATTAAAGAAATTAATGCATAATGGAATAAGAAACGAACTTGAAGATGAAAACGTCCAAGGAAATCTATTTGAATTTATATGCACATAGTAAAGAGCAAGTGTATCCATCTGAGACTCCAACTCCAAGCCTCTTCAAGATGATAGGGTATACACAACGCAACTTACACTTGGTGCAAAATGGGCGAGACACACTACCATTGAGCACCACCTCATATGAGTCCAAATCCTCTAGTATGCTTCTTGGCATGAACCCTACATAAGGTCCGAGCACACATTTTGTATGCAAACTAGCATGGTGATCTTTACACGTGTAGAACCACTTCCTTGGATCACATACTCTCTCACAAATGTCACACCAGTATTTACCACTTGCATCTTCTCCATAGCATAGTGTGAGAGGATGATCGTGAACTCTGTGCTTTACAACTTGTGGTAAAGTGGCGCAACCGTAGCATAAGGCAAATCCACAACCATCTTCAATGCAACTGAGCTCAGCATATCCCCTATAAGTTTTGCAACCATTGCACTTTGTAGAAAGATTATTTGGAATGTCAAATAAAGGATGATTGGGATGACTTGGATGGACAAATGGCTCAGAAATCGAACTGCATCGGACATCTAACTCCTTCCAGTTATCATAGTCATCATTGTATCTGAAACCATTGGACATTCTAAGACAAGCACAACACCGGAACCAATTAGTCTTGTCTGTAACTAAAGTAAGTCGATCATTGTGAAGCACATGCCATTTCTTCCTAGGAAGTTTAGCGCAGTTTTGATGAAGAAAGAAATCACAACTGAGACAACCATAATAGGACTGGAGACCGACGGGATGGATGCATGCGCTGCAACGGTTGTTCTCATCATACAAAATACCATTATCATTAAGTCTCAGATAATGCTCTTTGTGGCTAAAATGTTGTATCGTGTTGTCATCAATTACCACATATGGCTCTATATCTTCTGTTTCTTCAGGTACTCCTTCAAGTTCTTTTCCGTTCCAGACATCTTCTCTTGTAGCACATTTCGAATGCACGACATAGCCAGTGCACCTCTTACAAGAGTAACCCCCACAAGTCCAATCCACCTTCTTACGACAAACTCCACATACAGAATTCACAACACCAAGAAGAGAAGTGCGAGAAACACGATGATCATGACGATTGATGTTTATGACGCGTGGAAGGCCAAGACAATCTCGATGGATCATGAAACCACATTGAAAACATGCGTAAGGGCTGCGATCTCCCTTGAGCCCGCAAGCATTACATGTAAAAGAATCGAGTCTTGGGAGAAGGGTGAGTTGGTGATCATGCACTTTCAAATCCACAAGAGATTGTGGTGGTGGGTTTAAGACACAGCGCAAATCCAAGGTGAAGTTACATAAAGAACAATGATAAAACCATTTATCAACCTTTCTTCCACAGAGACGACATTTTCCATCGGAATAGTCCGGTGGATCGCCTGTAATGAGCTTGAGAGGGTGCAAGGAATGGTAAGAGTGGTTTACTTCTTTGGGGCGTATCACATCCGATGGGTATGAGTACCATACGCACTCCACATGGAATGCTAAATCACATTCGTCACATTTGTAAGGAAACCCATAACCACGCTTTCCACATTTGGCATCACAGACAAACTCTGTCCGCTCCTTGACATGTGTGAGCTTGTGAGGATGCGTCTCGGAAATGTCAATAACCTCTGGTGGTGGTGGGTAATTGGCACAGTATAGACACACGTCGAAGTCACATATCTCACAACAATAGCATCGATCCTTAATATTCCTTCCACATAAATCGCAATAATGCCATGATTGACCAAGCAGCTGAAGAGTGTGAAGGGAGTGTGATGGGTGTTGGATATATTTGGAGGCCCCGTCGCCACATATCTTGTGGAAGAAAAAATCGCAGATTTTGCAATAGTAGCCACCAGTGGTAGATTGAAGGCGTCCACAGCAATCACCTCTCCGCATATCATTCCAAGGCACCATGAAATGCTTGTGGATGGGTAGTGACACTAACACAGGAACAGAGGCCATGGTTGTACACTACGAGACTAGAAGGATGAGGAGGTTTGTGGTCGTATATTGGGAAGGAAGAAGAAGACGGAAGGTTGAATGTGTTATCCTCAATGCTATCTCATCCTCTGGCCACTCAAATACTATCCCTCTCTCAATTTTTTTCTTTTTTATTCCTATAATTTACTGAATTGGTCCACAATTCCACATTTTAAAACCTGAAGTTATTACGATTTTAAATTTTTTAACATTTCCATTTCTTGATTATCTGGTTTATAGATTGATTAACGGATTGCTGATAGTAAAAGAACACAAAAGTGGTTTATGAAGAATTTAAGTAGTGACTCTCACAAAATAATATTACAAGATGCACTAAAACACTTAGGGTAATATTAAGAACTATTAACCAGAAGAGTTCATAATGTCCGAGAGAGAACAACAAAAAATCACTTAAGCTCTTCAATGGTGTGATAGCTTTTGTTTGTTTATATAATATCAATAACGAGGTGTGTAAGAGTAAGGTCCCATGGAGTATGGAAGCTGATAATGTTGTTGTTGGTTTTGTATGAAATTCATGTAACCTTGTCTTCCATTTCTGTTGTACTGATCCCACATCATTTGTTCTTCCATCAACAATCTTTGCTTTCTCTCCAAATCATTCATTTGCACGTACGGTGGTGGTGCCACCTCTAGCGACGCCGCAAATGGGTCTACTATCACCTGACTTTTGCTTCCTACTCTGTTTCCGTTGGCCATCGGTGGTGGCGCCGGCAATGCCAAAATAGAGGCTGCATCACCATGTTTCAAGATCATATTCATTATTAGTCAAACCAAAGCCAAACGCAAACGCAATAAATATTATTGATAAATATTATTTTGTATATCTTACCTGCTGGTGTTCCTGCAGAACCAAACGCAACGCTACTCGCACTTCCACTGCTTCCATAAGCCGTAGACGTTTGAACCGCCGCGTTAACCGCACCGTACTGATACATTCCATCAAGCAACAACCTGTCAAATCCTCCTCCAAGCTCACTCTTTTGTCCCGACAATCTCGTCGCTGATTTCACCAAAGCTGTCTCCCAGTCCGCTGAATCGTCATCAAACGCTTCCCACCCCGGTCCAGACGCAGTCTCAGTCGCTACCTCTCCATCGAATAACGCTAACGCCAAACTATCACCAACCGCTCCTCCCGTTTCAACCGCCTCGTCAGTTAAATCCAGCAAATCACCTTCTTGATCTTGTCTTGAAACCACTTCTTGAATATCTTTCTTTGTTTCCATTTCTTCTTTTTCCTCTTCCTCTTCGTGATTCGGTGCTGGTAATGCTTTAATGGTGTTGAAATCTTCTTCTTGAACTTCCTCTGTTTTTCTCTCTTCCTCTTCTTCGGATTTGTTAGAGTTTCTTGATGATGATTTAGATGTTTGCGCAGCTAAAGCAGATTTATCTCTTATGAACTCATCCATGAGATCAAGTTTCTTCTGTGTGATCTTCTCCAACTCTGGATACTCTGAAGATCTTGCAACTCCCATCTTCTTACACCATCCGTAAAACGGATCTAACTCATCCAACTGTTTCGAAACTCGAGAGAAGATGTCATAGACTTTGATCGAATCATGAATGTCTAACTCCATAAATCGATCTATCAACACTCCCATTATCTCTGTTACGTTGTAATATATCTGAAAACTCTCTTTCACTATAGGATACAAAGCCACTATCACCACTCTGTTGTTCTTCGCATTACCTGTTACAGAGAGACCTAACTTGTTAGACAAGAAAGTTGAGAGTGGGGAAAACAAAACGTAAGACGCAAGTTAATACCTGTTGGACGACAAGCCAAGAACCGATCAAGAAGCTGTTGTAAATGATGTACTCTGGTGAAGATTTTCTCTGTTTTCATCTCTGTGACTGGTTTGGTCTTAACCACAAGAGCTCTCGACCGAATATTGGCATTGGTCTCTCGATGATCATCTTCGTCGTCACCGGAATCACCACCATCATTACCGTGTTTCCCTCTCTTTCCTTGCATCCGGAAATCAAGCCGATCGTCCAAATACAGAGCGTAAGTCCGAACAAAAGCAGAGTAATCCCACGAATCAGAACGATTCGCGTCTCTGAAATCAGACATGTTAAGCAATCTCGTTCCTCGTCTCGTGGCGAAGAAGATCTCTTGCTCGTACGCTCTGTCTCCTTCTGTTAACAAACGTTGGACCAAAATCAAGGTTTTGAGAGCAACCAACCAGTTCTTGGTCTTGTTGAGACGTCGAGAGAGAGTTGAAACACAAGCGCTTACGTAGTTGCGTGAGTAGGACGTTAGGCTTAAGATCTCTCTGATGTATTTCTCATCCGCTGGATATTCGTCGTGTCGCGTTGCTTTCACGATGGCTATTTCGAGCTCCGTTATAAAACTGCCTCGACCTCCGACTTTCGCTAATCCCAGGCTTGTCTGGTCTTTCGACGGCTCCTATGGCGCGTTTTAGCTTACTCGAACCCATTTTGACTAACGTACGCCGTGAAGAAAATGTCGAAAACAGAGGAAAAGAGGGAAGAACGACGGCTTTTTTTCCGTTGACTTGTTTGTCGTCGTCGTCGTCTCCTTTTCTCCTCTGTTTCTTTTTTTTGTTTTCCTTTTTCTGAATCAGAAAATGTGGTTGCTTGTTCGATCTACCATGGACATCGCCGAGGTTGTCGGAATTTAATGAGAGGGAAAAAATTAGATACGATTCGACTTTTCCTTATTTAATTGGATAAAAACAGAATCTCCACTCTGTTTATTAAGCTATAAATAGAAAAACGATTCTCTAAATAAGAATCTTGTAATGTTAATGAAGCCATGAGACTTGTGTTTTCACAAATGTATCCTCATGGTTAATAACTTATAACACTTACAATACGAGATACAGAGAGACTGATAAAAGCTCCAAACTCCGCTTCTTGCTTCATCAGTCTATGCATTTCTTTGGCCTGCAAAACGAGCGAAAAACAAGAAGAATCTGATATGCATAAACATGGATCATAAAAGTTAAAATAGTCATAAAAAAGAGCCATTTTTTAGCTTACCATGATGTATCGTTCTGAGGTTCAGGATTCCAGCCATATGGACTAGTGCTTGGAGCAACATGGTGATTTTGCGCATTTCTTATCCTCTGCAAGTGAGAGTTTGTTTGGGAGTTTACGGATGGAGGAGGAGGAGGAGCGAAACTGTTATCGAGTCTTGGCATGCCAATGTTGGGATTTGGCAAATGGTTTAGGTTTGATTGTGGTTGAAAAGCTGGAATGATGCAAGAAGAATCCATCCTGTGGTTACCAGTTAATGGCACTCTGATGTTGTTGTTGTTGTTATGTCCGTTTGATCTCCCGAGAAGCAGTGGATTCATTCCTGTCACTCTCTTAACAGTTTCTTCCGCCATTTTCACCTTAACAACAATACATGGAAGTTGCTAACGTAAGTGTAGTTAGGAAAAACGGAGAGAGGGAGAAATAAATGAAGTCTTATGTATTACCTTAGCTCTTAATGTCTCAATGTCAGCTTTTAGTATTCTATTGCCAACAGCAGCGTCATCATACTTGTGATTCATGCTGCTCAGTTGCTTCAGAAGTGTTGAATGTTCACCTTTTAGCTCATTGACCTAACAGAAATTAGGTCTCTCATTAATATAATTTTAACACAAAAATAAGACGTTTTGAGAGGATGTAAGTATGAAACCTGTGTTTCGAGATCACATGTTTGCTCCTGCTTTCTCCTTCTAGATCGCCTTGCTGACTCTCGGTTTGACAGCATCCTACAAAGAACAAGGTTGTCCAAAACTGTGAAGATAGAGATCGAAAGACAAGGGATTGGAGAAAACTGAATACTTTACCTTCTGGATTTTTTGACGTCTTCTGGTTTCAAGGAACCAGTGGTTTCATTCTCTTCATCAAGGTCATCGTCATCAGAATATTCTCTCGATGATCCACTCATGACCTGCTTCATTGGTACTACGCCAGTTTTTTTCAGCTCAGCTGGTAATGGAGAAGAGACACCACGTTCTCCACTGGTCATCAAAGAACCTACCAATGATTAAACTTACTTTGTGTAAGACTCAAAAGACGTATCTGAAAGACAAATAGTAGCTAAAAGCGTATTGGTCTTCCAGAAAGCAGACGAATATTACGGAGGAGAAAGTAGCAAAAAAGATTGAAACTTGATGGATAGTAGTAAATCTAGGCGCATGATCTAACAAAATCTTCTCTAAATAACCATTTTCCATTTCTTAACTTGATATCAAATTTACAAAAACACAGAAACGTTCATATCAGATCATAAATTAGGCGCTCCTGTTAAAGAAAAAACTGAACTAACCACCAGAATCCATCTCAATCCCAATCTTATTGGTCTTCCAGAAAGAAGATAAATTTCATGGAGAAAGTTTCATAAATATTGAAACTTGATGGATACTAAGTCTAGGCGCATGATCTAACAAAAGCTTTCAAATCAACCATTTCCATTTCTACAGTATAGTTTCATAAATTGGTATCAAATTTACAAACACAACGTTTCATGCAGAGACCAGAAATGAATCAGCAGAGTTTATCTTCGCTCATCAACAAGATAAGGCTCTTAAGTCTTTACCTTGAGCGAGAGGACTGGATTGAGCTGGTTGAAACTGAAGATTCGACTAGCTCTCCCGAAACTCAGTTTCAACCAGCTCAATCCAGTCCTCTCGCTCAAGGTAAAGACTTAAGAGCCTTATCTTGTTGATGAGCGAAGATAAACTCTGCTGATTCATTTCTGGTCTCTGCATGAAACGTTGTGTTTGTAAATTTGATACCAATTTATGAAACTATACTGTAGAAATGGAAATGGTTGATTTGAAAGCTTTTGTTAGATCATGCGCCTAGACTTAGTATCCATCAAGTTTCAATATTTATGAAACTTTCTCCATGAAATTTATCTTCTTTCTGGAAGACCAATAAGATTGGGATTGAGATGGATTCTGGTGGTTAGTTCAGTTTTTTCTTTAACAGGAGCGCCTAATTTATGATCTGATATGAACGTTTCTGTGTTTTTGTAAATTTGATATCAAGTTAAGAAATGGAAAATGGTTATTTAGAGAAGATTTTGTTAGATCATGCGCCTAGATTTACTACTATCCATCAAGTTTCAATCTTTTTTGCTACTTTCTCCTCCGTAATATTCGTCTGCTTTCTGGAAGACCAATACGCTTTTAGCTACTATTTGTCTTTCAGATACGTCTTTTGAGTCTTACACAAAGTAAGTTTAATCATTGGTAGGTTCTTTGATGACCAGTGGAGAACGTGGTGTCTCTTCTCCATTACCAGCTGAGCTGAAAAAAACTGGCGTAGTACCAATGAAGCAGGTCATGAGTGGATCATCGAGAGAATATTCTGATGACGATGACCTTGATGAAGAGAATGAAACCACTGGTTCCTTGAAACCAGAAGACGTCAAAAAATCCAGAAGGTAAAGTATTCAGTTTTCTCCAATCCCTTGTCTTTCGATCTCTATCTTCACAGTTTTGGACAACCTTGTTCTTTGTAGGATGCTGTCAAACCGAGAGTCAGCAAGGCGATCTAGAAGGAGAAAGCAGGAGCAAACATGTGATCTCGAAACACAGGTTTCATACTTACATCCTCTCAAAACGTCTTATTTTTGTGTTAAAATTATATTAATGAGAGACCTAATTTCTGTTAGGTCAATGAGCTAAAAGGTGAACATTCAACACTTCTGAAGCAACTGAGCAGCATGAATCACAAGTATGATGACGCTGCTGTTGGCAATAGAATACTAAAAGCTGACATTGAGACATTAAGAGCTAAGGTAATACATAAGACTTCATTTATTTCTCCCTCTCTCCGTTTTTCCTAACTACACTTACGTTAGCAACTTCCATGTATTGTTGTTAAGGTGAAAATGGCGGAAGAAACTGTTAAGAGAGTGACAGGAATGAATCCACTGCTTCTCGGGAGATCAAACGGACATAACAACAACAACAACATCAGAGTGCCATTAACTGGTAACCACAGGATGGATTCTTCTTGCATCATTCCAGCTTTTCAACCACAATCAAACCTAAACCATTTGCCAAATCCCAACATTGGCATGCCAAGACTCGATAACAGTTTCGCTCCTCCTCCTCCTCCATCCGTAAACTCCCAAACAAACTCTCACTTGCAGAGGATAAGAAATGCGCAAAATCACCATGTTGCTCCAAGCACTAGTCCATATGGCTGGAATCCTGAACCTCAGAACGATACATCATGGTAAGCTAAAAAATGGCTCTTTTTTATGACTATTTTAACTTTTATGATCCATGTTTATGCATATCAGATTCTTCTTGTTTTTCGCTCGTTTTGCAGGCCAAAGAAATGCATAGACTGATGAAGCAAGAAGCGGAGTTTGGAGCTTTTATCAGTCTCTCTGTATCTCGTATTGTAAGTGTTATAAGTTATTAACCATGAGGATACATTTGTGAAAACACAAGTCTCATGGCTTCATTAACATTACAAGATTCTTATTTAGAGAATCGTTTTTCTATTTATAGCTTAATAAACAGAGTGGAGATTCTGTTTTTATCCAATTAAATAAGGAAAAGTCGAATCGTATCTAATTTTTTCCCTCTCATTAAATTCCGACAACCTCGGCGATGTCCATGGTAGATCGAACAAGCAACCACATTTTCTGATTCAGAAAAAGGAAAACAAAAAAAAGAAACAGAGGAGAAAAGGAGACGACGACGACGACAAACAAGTCAACGGAAAAAAAGCCGTCGTTCTTCCCTCTTTTCCTCTGTTTTCGACATTTTCTTCACGGCGTACGTTAGTCAAAATGGGTTCGAGTAAGCTAAAACGCGCCATAGGAGCCGTGAAAGACCAGACAAGCCTGGGATTAGCGAAAGTCGGAGGTCGAGGCAGTTTTATAACGGAGCTCGAAATAGCCATCGTGAAAGCAACGCGACACGACGAATATCCAGCGGATGAGAAATACATCAGAGAGATCTTAAGCCTAACGTCCTACTCACGCAACTACGTAAGCGCTTGTGTTTCAACTCTCTCTCGACGTCTCAACAAGACCAAGAACTGGTTGGTTGCTCTCAAAACCTTGATTTTGGTCCAACGTTTGTTAACAGAAGGAGACAGAGCGTACGAGCAAGAGATCTTCTTCGCCACGAGACGAGGAACGAGATTGCTTAACATGTCTGATTTCAGAGACGCGAATCGTTCTGATTCGTGGGATTACTCTGCTTTTGTTCGGACTTACGCTCTGTATTTGGACGATCGGCTTGATTTCCGGATGCAAGGAAAGAGAGGGAAACACGGTAATGATGGTGGTGATTCCGGTGACGACGAAGATGATCATCGAGAGACCAATGCCAATATTCGGTCGAGAGCTCTTGTGGTTAAGACCAAACCAGTCACAGAGATGAAAACAGAGAAAATCTTCACCAGAGTACATCATTTACAACAGCTTCTTGATCGGTTCTTGGCTTGTCGTCCAACAGGTATTAACTTGCGTCTTACGTTTTGTTTTCCCCACTCTCAACTTTCTTGTCTAACAAGTTAGGTCTCTCTGTAACAGGTAATGCGAAGAACAACAGAGTGGTGATAGTGGCTTTGTATCCTATAGTGAAAGAGAGTTTTCAGATATATTACAACGTAACAGAGATAATGGGAGTGTTGATAGATCGATTTATGGAGTTAGACATTCATGATTCGATCAAAGTCTATGACATCTTCTCTCGAGTTTCGAAACAGTTGGATGAGTTAGATCCGTTTTACGGATGGTGTAAGAAGATGGGAGTTGCAAGATCTTCAGAGTATCCAGAGTTGGAGAAGATCACACAGAAGAAACTTGATCTCATGGATGAGTTCATAAGAGATAAATCTGCTTTAGCTGCGCAAACATCTAAATCATCATCAAGAAACTCTAACAAATCCGAAGAAGAGGAAGAGAGAAAAACAGAGGAAGTTCAAGAAGAAGATTTCAACACCATTAAAGCATTACCAGCACCGAATCACGAAGAGGAAGAGGAAAAAGAAGAAATGGAAACAAAGAAAGATATTCAAGAAGTGGTTTCAAGACAAGATCAAGAAGGTGATTTGCTGGATTTAACTGACGAGGCGGTTGAAACGGGAGGAGCGGTTGGTGATAGTTTGGCGTTAGCGTTATTCGATGGAGAGGTAGCGACTGAGACTGCGTCTGGACCGGGGTGGGAAGCGTTTGATGACGATTCAGCGGACTGGGAGACAGCTTTGGTGAAATCAGCGACGAGATTGTCGGGACAAAAGAGTGAGCTTGGAGGAGGATTTGACAGGTTGTTGCTTGATGGAATGTATCAGTACGGTGCGGTTAACGCGGCGGTTCAAACGTCTACGGCTTATGGAAGCAGTGGAAGTGCGAGTAGCGTTGCGTTTGGTTCTGCAGGAACACCAGCAGGTAAGATATACAAAATAATATTTATCAATAATATTTATTGCGTTTGCGTTTGGCTTTGGTTTGACTAATAATGAATATGATCTTGAAACATGGTGATGCAGCCTCTATTTTGGCATTGCCGGCGCCACCACCGATGGCCAACGGAAACAGAGTAGGAAGCAAAAGTCAGGTGATAGTAGACCCATTTGCGGCGTCGCTAGAGGTGGCACCACCACCGTACGTGCAAATGAATGATTTGGAGAGAAAGCAAAGATTGTTGATGGAAGAACAAATGATGTGGGATCAGTACAACAGAAATGGAAGACAAGGTTACATGAATTTCATACAAAACCAACAACAACATTATCAGCTTCCATACTCCATGGGACCTTACTCTTACACACCTCGTTATTGATATTATATAAACAAACAAAAGCTATCACACCATTGAAGAGCTTAAGTGATTTTTTGTTGTTCTCTCTCGGACATTATGAACTCTTCTGGTTAATAGTTCTTAATATTACCCTAAGTGTTTTAGTGCATCTTGTAATATTATTTTGTGAGAGTCACTACTTAAATTCTTCATAAACCACTTTTGTGTTCTTTTACTATCAGCAATCCGTTAATCAATCTATAAACCAGATAATCAAGAAATGGAAATGTTAAAAAATTTAAAATCGTAATAACTTCAGGTTTTAAAATGTGGAATTGTGGACCAATTCAGTAAATTATAGGAATAAAAAAGAAAAAAATTGAGAGAGGGATAGTATTTGAGTGGCCAGAGGATGAGATAGCATTGAGGATAACACATTCAACCTTCCGTCTTCTTCTTCCTTCCCAATATACGACCACAAACCTCCTCATCCTTCTAGTCTCGTAGTGTACAACCATGGCCTCTGTTCCTGTGTTAGTGTCACTACCCATCCACAAGCATTTCATGGTGCCTTGGAATGATATGCGGAGAGGTGATTGCTGTGGACGCCTTCAATCTACCACTGGTGGCTACTATTGCAAAATCTGCGATTTTTTCTTCCACAAGATATGTGGCGACGGGGCCTCCAAATATATCCAACACCCATCACACTCCCTTCACACTCTTCAGCTGCTTGGTCAATCATGGCATTATTGCGATTTATGTGGAAGGAATATTAAGGATCGATGCTATTGTTGTGAGATATGTGACTTCGACGTGTGTCTATACTGTGCCAATTACCCACCACCACCAGAGGTTATTGACATTTCCGAGACGCATCCTCACAAGCTCACACATGTCAAGGAGCGGACAGAGTTTGTCTGTGATGCCAAATGTGGAAAGCGTGGTTATGGGTTTCCTTACAAATGTGACGAATGTGATTTAGCATTCCATGTGGAGTGCGTATGGTACTCATACCCATCGGATGTGATACGCCCCAAAGAAGTAAACCACTCTTACCATTCCTTGCACCCTCTCAAGCTCATTACAGGCGATCCACCGGACTATTCCGATGGAAAATGTCGTCTCTGTGGAAGAAAGGTTGATAAATGGTTTTATCATTGTTCTTTATGTAACTTCACCTTGGATTTGCGCTGTGTCTTAAACCCACCACCACAATCTCTTGTGGATTTGAAAGTGCATGATCACCAACTCACCCTTCTCCCAAGACTCGATTCTTTTACATGTAATGCTTGCGGGCTCAAGGGAGATCGCAGCCCTTACGCATGTTTTCAATGTGGTTTCATGATCCATCGAGATTGTCTTGGCCTTCCACGCGTCATAAACATCAATCGTCATGATCATCGTGTTTCTCGCACTTCTCTTCTTGGTGTTGTGAATTCTGTATGTGGAGTTTGTCGTAAGAAGGTGGATTGGACTTGTGGGGGTTACTCTTGTAAGAGGTGCACTGGCTATGTCGTGCATTCGAAATGTGCTACAAGAGAAGATGTCTGGAACGGAAAAGAACTTGAAGGAGTACCTGAAGAAACAGAAGATATAGAGCCATATGTGGTAATTGATGACAACACGATACAACATTTTAGCCACAAAGAGCATTATCTGAGACTTAATGATAATGGTATTTTGTATGATGAGAACAACCGTTGCAGCGCATGCATCCATCCCGTCGGTCTCCAGTCCTATTATGGTTGTCTCAGTTGTGATTTCTTTCTTCATCAAAACTGCGCTAAACTTCCTAGGAAGAAATGGCATGTGCTTCACAATGATCGACTTACTTTAGTTACAGACAAGACTAATTGGTTCCGGTGTTGTGCTTGTCTTAGAATGTCCAATGGTTTCAGATACAATGATGACTATGATAACTGGAAGGAGTTAGATGTCCGATGCAGTTCGATTTCTGAGCCATTTGTCCATCCAAGTCATCCCAATCATCCTTTATTTGACATTCCAAATAATCTTTCTACAAAGTGCAATGGTTGCAAAACTTATAGGGGATATGCTGAGCTCAGTTGCATTGAAGATGGTTGTGGATTTGCCTTATGCTACGGTTGCGCCACTTTACCACAAGTTGTAAAGCACAGAGTTCACGATCATCCTCTCACACTATGCTATGGAGAAGATGCAAGTGGTAAATACTGGTGTGACATTTGTGAGAGAGTATGTGATCCAAGGAAGTGGTTCTACACGTGTAAAGATCACCATGCTAGTTTGCATACAAAATGTGTGCTCGGACCTTATGTAGGGTTCATGCCAAGAAGCATACTAGAGGATTTGGACTCATATGAGGTGGTGCTCAATGGTAGTGTGTCTCGCCCATTTTGCACCAAGTGTAAGTTGCGTTGTGTATACCCTATCATCTTGAAGAGGCTTGGAGTTGGAGTCTCAGATGGATACACTTGCTCTTTACTATGTGCATATAAATTCAAATAGATTTCCTTGGACGTTTTCATCTTCAAGTTCGTTTCTTATTCCATTATGCATTAATTTCTTTAATGTATTAACTAGAGTTTGACCCGCGCCTTGCACGGGATGATATTTTCTCAATTTGATTTTATTAAAAGATGTCTATTTACATACAATTTTAGGAACATAGAGTGTTAGACAATTAAAAAAATGTCAATTTACATTAGACGAAATTTTGAGTGATGCATATTTTTTTAGCCTGGTTTGATTTTTGTCATCGTTTACAGTGTGGTAATCTAACATTTGCTTTAACAACAGTTTCTCCCTTTCCGAACCCACATATATATTAAATTTTAATACATTTAAAATAATTTTATATTTTGATAAATATAAAATGGCATATATATTTTATGTTTTTATCAATTTTAAATAACTAAAATAATTTAACTTATATGATAAGTTATTAGAATTTATTACGTTTAAAATTTTGATCAAACCAAAATATTAAAAAATACGATTTAATTATTTAATTCAATTAAAGAATCAAATTAAATCGAATAAAAGAAATTTTAAAGATTTCCAAACATGGTAAATTTTTCTTTCCTATTTGTGATTATGGTTGATCATTATTTGGATCCTATTTTATAATAGGTTTTTGAACTATTATCCCAAAATATAATCATGTGGGACATTTAACATTTTTAGAGATTTGCTTCATTTTTAAAAATTCAAACCATAGCATATGTAGAAAAAAACTAATTTTCTTTTTTTAAATATTTTGATGTGATGATATAATTTATTCTTGAAAGTAAAGCTAAACAAAAATGATAGATGAATAAATTAATTTTTAAACAATTAATATAATACAATTGAATAAAACTTTCCATATTTTACTGATTGATTGACTAATAAATAAATTTTCGTCATTACCAAATAAGGAAACTGAAAGAAAATAATTTTCATTAATAATTATTTTTCTGACTAAATTAATCATATATATTTCATTCTCTAACCAAATATGAATGGCATAACATGTAATTAGTCTAGTAATGTTTGTCTTAATTAAAACTAACCTTGAAAGTGAACCTGGTGTTGACACATCAGCATGGCATTTCTGTTAATAACACATGAGACAAAGGTTTATTTTATAGTGTTTTCTCTTTTAATATATTAGGAATATCTACCAAGCTTGCAATCTTAATTTAATATATATGATCTCGTCGTCTTAACGCTTTCATTTTTTTAGTCTTTCGTCTTAAAAACGAAGAACACACTACAGTTTTGTCTGCTCGAACACAACACTACAGTTTTGTCTACAGACCAAACAAAAGAACACAACACTACAGTTTTCCTCTCATAACACATCGATTTAACTAACATAAACTAACTTACATGGTATCAGGTCTATGGAATTTATTGTTAAACACCATATAACTCTGATAAATAAGACTGTAGTATAGCGGTAATTTTATCGAGAAAACAAAATGATGCTCGAAACGTCTCAACAAGACCAAGAACTGGTCGGTTGCTCTCAAAACCTTGATTTTAGTCCAACGTTTGTTAACAGAAGGCGATCGAGCCTACGAGCAAGAGATCTTCTTCGCGACGAGATTGCTTAACATGTCTGATTTCAGAGACGCGAATCGTTCTGATTCATGGGATTACTCTGCTTTTGTTCGGACTTATGCTCTGTATTTGGACGAACGGCTTGATATCCGAATGCAAGGAAAGAGAGGGAAACACGGTGATGCTGGTGCTGATTCCGGTAATGAGGAAGATGATCATCGAGAGACCAATGCCAACATTCGGTCGAGAGCTCTTGTGGTTAAGTCTTGTCAAATTGATGAGAGTAAAGAACACAAGAATTATAATAGACTCTCATGAAAATAATGTTACAAGATGTATAAACTTATATAGGGAAGAAAGCAAACTAATTTCCTAAACTAATATGGAATAGATATATTTAAGATAAAAGCTAAGTTTCCTAATCTTAGATATTGCCAAATATCAATCTTCTAGATCCTTCTTGATTTCCTTATGGTCGATCTCGTCAATCTCCCAATAAGTCTAAACCGGTCACAGAGAAAATCTTCACCAGAGTACATCATTTACAAGAGCTTCTTGATCGGTTCTTGGCTTGTCGTCCAACAGGTAATAACTTGCGACTCACGTTTGTTTTTCATCACTCTTAACTTTCTTGGTTAACAAGTTAAGTCTCATTGTAACAGATAATGCGAAGAACAACAGAGTGGTGATCGTTGTTCTCTCTCTGACATTGTAAACTCTTCTGGTTAATAGTTCTTAATATTACCATAAGTGTTTTAGTGCTTCTTGTAATATTATTTTGTGAGAATGTATACTTTATATTCTTCATCATAAAACACTTGGGTTCTTTTAATATCATCAATCTATTTATCAATCTAAAACCAGTTAATCAAGAAATGGAAATGTTACAATCGGTTTTTAGAATGTGGACCCATTTAATAAATTATCGGAATAAATAAAAGAAAAACTTGAGAGAGGGGATAGTATTTGAGTGGCCAGAGGATGAGATAGCATTGAGGAATGGATAACACATTCAACCTTCAATCTTCTTCTTCCTTCCCAGTATACGACCACAAGCCTCTTCTTCTTTATGATCTCGTAGTGTATACAGCTATGGATTCAGTCTCTGAGGGAGTGTCACTACTCATCCATGAGCATCCTATGGTGCCTTGGAATGATATGGGGAGAGGTGATTGCTGTAGACGCTATGAATCTATCACGGATGGCTACTATTGCAAAATCTGCGACTTTTTCGTCCACAAGATATGTGGCGACGAGGCCTCCGAATATATTCAACACCAATCTCACTCCCTTCACACTCTTCAGCTGCTTCCAAGTAAACTTCATTATTGCGATTTATGTGGAAGGAATATTAAGGATCGATGCTATTGTTGTGAGATATGTGACTTCGACGTGTGTCTATACTGTGCCAAGTACCCACCACCACCAGAGGTTATTGACATTTCCGAGACGCATCCTCACAAGCTCACACATGTCAAGGAGCGGACAGAGTTTGTCTGTGATGCCAAATGTGGAAAGCGTGGTTATGGGTTTCCTTACAAATGTGACGAATGTGATTTAGCATTCCATGTGGAGTGCGTATGGTACTCATACCCATCGGATGTGATACGCCCCAAAGAAGTAAACCACTCTTACCATTCTTTGCACCCTCTTAAGCTCCTTACAGGCCATCCACCA